TGAGCGTGATTATGCACCTACTCAATGCCAGGAAAGAAAAGTGAGCTACTTTTTTTTAGTATGCATTTTTACACTTACGTATTTAAATCGTATAAGTAAGATCGTATACTTACGTACTTCGAGCGTACTTTTAAACGACCCAATTGACCGCATATTACAAAAAAAAATGCGACCACGAAGCGAGAACATTTTCGTATCGTTGAAAACAAATGCTCGTTCTTCTTCGTGTACGGCAAGTTATCGAAATTGTCACCATGCGAGCATGTGACCACATTTACTGTAAAACAGCCCTTTACAACAAATCTTGAGTGTTAACATGTACCGAAAAAATCTTGAATAATAAATAGCCGTAGCGTGATTAAGGAGAGTGTCGCGTATCTCATATCCGAGTTGTTTGCAGAAAAGTAAATTTTTCCATAATAATCGATTTGTCTTTCTTATTAAAGACATTGCTACGGTGAATGTAAAAAACTAGATGAATTTACAAAACTGACCTTTCCTAGAGTGCTCGGCCGCCGACCCGGAGGTCATGGGCTGGATCCCTGCCGTAGCAATAGCATTTCGATGGCGACGGAATGGCAGAGGCCTGCGTGCTATGCAATGTTAAAGCGCGTTAATGAACTCTGCAGACGGTTGAAATTTCCGGAGCCATCCGCAACCGCATCTGTCATAATCATATCGTGGTTTTGAGACATGAGACCCCAGATAATATATAAACTGTTCTTTTTTCCCATGAAAGGTAGTGACGCTATAATAATGCCTTGAGAAAAGTTGACGTCACTTGCACTTGTTTCTACGCCCGCTTTCATCAGCGCCTTCCCGGCCTGTGTGAATCGACCTTGCTCTATATCAGTATTTGCAGCATACGTGCGGTCCTCCAACCAAACACACGCTGCTTGTATGGCGCACGCCTTCAGATAAACGGTACTGCACTCCGATCTTTTCTTGCAGCCAAAATACGATCACGAAGACTACACGCCGCGCGGGGGCTAGCACCAACCTCTCTCCCTCTTGCTGCTAAGTCTGGCTCTCTACGAAACCGGCGCTCACCGGTGCAAACTGGCGATAGCCGTGCTGCAATATCGTGCTCACTCAGGCCATGGCCGGGATGGCCTGAGAGCATCTGATAGAGAACCGCATGCTGACCGGCCGTTGAAACGCCTTATACAGAGCGTAAAACTGTCAGTATTCGCGGCAACAACGCTGAGGTCACTGAGGGTCTGGGGTCAAATTAAAAAACTAGGGTCAATGCACTAGCTTTTCTGAGGCGTCATGGCTAAATCTGTCGGCCTGCTATCATGAAAGAGCGGCCGTGAGGCCGGCGCCCAAAGTGGTCGAGTGTCAATCTTCACTCGTTCAACGCTGCACGCGCATCGACTGTTCACAATCATCAGTAACCGTTAATAAGTTTAGGATGAAACTTGCAGCGCCAAAGTATGAACGCGGACAGAGCAAGTGACCACGTCACAACACGCCTTATGGCCCATCGTCACTTGCTCTGTCCGTGTTTTCGATTGATTAATGTGTAGGGTGTAACGTCCCAAAACTACCATATGATTGTCAGAGATGTCGTAGTGCTCCGAGATGTCGTAGGCTCCGAAAGTTTCAACCACCTGGGGTTCTTTGACGTACAACCAAACTGAAGCACATGGGCCTACAGCATTTCCGCCTCCATCGGAAATGCCGCAGCCGGGATTCGATCGCGCGACCTGTGGGTCAGCAGCCGAGTACCTTAGCCACTAGACCACCGCGGTGGGGCTCTGTCCATGTTTTCAGTGCGCTATAAGTATCAACATGTGCCACTACGAGCAAGTCCTTCTTACAATGTTCTGTGTGAATAAGTTATTTAGAATTACATTCAGCATAATGATCCACGAGGAATAGAACAGTTATATTTTTACTTTATTTTCGAATGACAAGTAAGCGAAGATGTGGCACTTGCGTGTGTTCTTGTGGACACCACGAGAAAGCCAAGCTAATACAAATTAAAAAAGAATTACCGCAAAGGTAATTTCAATACTCTACAACATTTTATGGAAGGACGTTATGGAGCGAAATTGATCTTCATTGATAAAAGGTTTAACGCTTTCTTGTTTTTGCGTCAGTCTGCCAATGGCATCTTGGGCGGGCTGCACCGGTGGCGTTTTCTGTGCACTCGTGCCATGTCATACGTTCCTCTGGGCACAACGCGTGTGCTGCTGTATATTTGCCTGGGCCGGCCATGACATGTGTGTACGCCACACGTGTGGTACTATATACTTTCGCAATAAGGTCACCATTACTATAGAGTACTGTGCCTTTACCATAATAATGCCAACTTTACGGCTTCGTAAAAGCATTCAATGAAATTATTATCAAGGCTCGATGTCGGTGCGTCGGCCTCTACGATTTTTCATATTGTACGTTTTGTCAAAACTCATTGCGATTCTCGCCACCCTCTCGCAAATGCTATAGCATTGATATATGCTACCAGCGATATGCTTGTGTATTTAAAACCCTACCCCTAGTTTTTTTCTGCTAACTAATGCATGTTAGCATAGAACGTGTTCCTTCTTCAGCAATGTATAAGCCTCACGTGTCCTCCTAACTTCGCTGAGCCCGATTACATCGCTCTTAACACCTTCTAATTCCTTGAATAGCCCTGCTATACTAGCCTCACAAGGTAGCATTCTAGGGTTGAAGGTAGCCAAATTCAGATTCCAACGAGATATTCATGAGTACACAGGAAGTAAATGGCAAACGGCCACGACAATCTTCTTCATCTGACGCCTTTGCTTTGATGCCCTGCCCTGTGGCAGAGGGCCCTGCCAGTTGCTAAGGCCGTTGTGAACACACAGAGAATTCGTTTCCACAAATCCTTATAGGCTAAGCTTTTTTATCGATACAGTCGGCAGTTCTCAATAAATATGCATGTTCAGTCTTGATCCCAACTTTCGGGCACATGAGATGGGGACTCTGGGAAAATACGCATCAGCTGTAGTCTTATGCATACCGCGACTGAACGCATCTTACAGTGTAACGTGATCAGGTACTCTGTTGTAAAGTGAGTGCGTGTGACAACGTTCAAACAAGCTCCTTCTGAAATCACCAATTAGACAACAATGATGCAGCTCGTTGCATAAAAAAGTGACACATCTCACAAGCTCACATTTTTCGTTAACCTGACTGGAATGGGGGCTTGCCATCTCTGTTTTAATTGCCTAAATAGCTTTATTAGAGAAGTTGTTAACCATATCACCAACGAAGCTCTACACTACATGACCCAGAAGTGGCCCAAATGTTTTAAAAACGCTCATTTATAAACCTTGTCTTTAAATCCGAAATATGTGCTCAGCAAATTATTCTTTACTTAGACACACGCTCCTTCTCCATTTTTCGATTTAGCAGCATGGGACATGCGGTTTACGATCTCCTTCTTGCTTTAACGAAGTGCATCGACTTGTAGCATATCGCCCGTGCATTTTAATGAACCTGTAGTCAGCAGTGTAGATTACTGAATTTGCGTGATGTATACGTTTTAATGCGATGACGTTCAAAAGCTTGGTTCGCAGAATTTTCAGTAACGGCAGCACTGGCGGTGGTGTCCTTGATTGTGAGCCAAAGGCATCATTGGCCGTGAGAGAAAATTTGAGATAGATGCAAGGAAGTGTGGAGCGGCAGGGTGCTTGCACTTTGGCTTTCAATATGAAGCGCATTTTAGAGTCTCAACCGAAAAGCGAGAAGTGAAAGTTACCTAGCGATTAGGAAAGCGATAGTGTATGCGTGCGCGTGTGTTTGTCGCGTATCTGATTGGGTGTGTGTAAATGTGTGCGCCTCTGTACGAATTTGTGTGTGCATGTGGCCATTTGTGTGTGTGTGTTTTGTATATGTGTGTTTGTGTTTGCGCACGCCCGGATATCGCTATCGCATTCAACTCTCAAGGGAAATGCTTAAGGATTCCACTATTATTTGTTCAAGTTCATTATGAATACGCAGAGCTTTAGCTATATAGAAGTTTGCTTGCTCTAAAGTCCGTGTTGCGGGACACCTTACGACTGAGATCCTAGCATCTGAAGCAAATGCAGGAGCCGGTGGATAGAAGCTGTATGATGTACAGATTTCATGAACAGCAATAAAGGTCTCAGGCAGGCTGAGTAAATTTTTGATAGCAGTACCTATTTTTGCCAAATGCGTCTTGTCAACTTTGGCGTGTTTTAATTAGGCAGATCCTTGTCACCGTGGACAAGTAAGTATAGGTCCAGCTATCGAGACGTCGACCAGCTTTCTGAGGCCTTTATTGCTGGACATAGAATATCTATTGCTCACCCTGGTATCTAAATTCACTCGTGTTTAGCACTCCATCCAGTAACTCATTACTCTTGGCAACACTTCTTAACCATGTTAATGGTGTTTGGCCCTGTGCAACCCACGCCACTAAAAAAAAAGTTGTTCACACTTCTACTTATGTGGATCATGGCCGCATAGGACGTGGGCCTATTTCCACACATTTATGTATTCTCTGTACATTTTCAATTTATTCTTCCTTTATGTTGCTTTCTGAGATATGAGTTCAATTCGTGACCACGCGGACGAATTCTCATGAAGGCGAAATGGAACATCACCAGTGAACGTAGATCCCGCTGAAAACCCCTGGAATGTTTCTAGTATTTTGACTTCGAATCATTCGTTTAACTTAAATATGAAATGTCAATTTGTTGGGCTTCCAGCTCAAACCTATATCTGTGAATAAAGATTGATAGCTGAATAACTGACGCATTTGCCGAGTGAATTCATAACTGGCTTTCCACTCCAGTCATTCTTCTGCCACGGATATACTTGCGCAAAAGTCTCCCCTTTCTCGACCTTTCTTACGATTGCGAGGTCGGAAATTAACTTTTATTGGCCTCCAGCCAGCAGAAGCAGTTGTGGGATTCAAGATCTCCTTCATGGCGTCTCGCAATCTCTCCACCATTCGCACTCTATGATAGGCGATTGCCCCTCGCAACATTGGACACCGAGAAAAAAAACGGACCGAAAGCGCGCTATCTTTGACACGCGCTCGTGTTAACGAGAAGTGATGTCTCGCAGAGCCGCCGCGGCCAGTTGAAGGAACGTTGGGCCGGGCGTCGCACCACGTAACTACGCTTGGTCCACTGTCATCGGCGAAACGCAATGCGTTTCCGGGATATATAGGAAGATTGTGTTGGTGTGTAGTGTGCAAAGTGTGTTTCCTCGCTATCATATTGCATATCAAGTTCTGCGGCTTCTTTTGTGTGTGTCCCAGTGCAAAACAAGACGTAGTGGAGTTGTTGCCATGGGGTTCTTCGCCCACATCCTGTACGTCCTCGCCTTCGCTTTGGTAGCGTCCTCCAGGCCCGGTGAGTAAACCTTCACGCTAGACGATCCCAGGCATTCACAGCGTGAAAACGAGTCGCCAGTAGTTTAGATAACGCTTGCAAGATGACGTTGGGGCGCTGAAGCTGACGAAACGTACCATTCTTGGATAAAAATAAGCGAGTGTGAAGTTGTCGCTGTTTTCGCCAGCGGGTGCCCCTTTTTCATGTATTTGCTGGATACATCAGAACGATGTGTGAGGAGCATTTTTGCTTGGTCAGGCAACAGCCGAATCACTGAAAGTAATATATATCAACCTTCTAACTGAACGCGCCTGTCAAAAATTATGGTACAAACAACCGTATAATGCATGCATGGAGGAAGTTTCAGGCCCTAGCATTCAGCAAAAATCAAGCACACATCAGGTAGTTGAGTCACTATGTATTGTGCAGTCCTGTACACCTTGCGGGTGTGTGCAAAAATTAACAACGCTTGAGAACACCAGCGTTCACAGGGAATATCATTTTTATTGGTTTACAAACAAATGCTCGAAAGGCAGGAGTTAAAACACTTTCGTGAAGAGAAAATTCTAGCGATATTCTTACCAATGGGACTGCTTTTCAAAATATGCTTCTGTTGTTCGAAATATGCGCTTGAGACAGTCGTGAAACAGATGGTACGTTACCACATGACCTTGTTGGAGCTCTTAGATGTACACAATTTCAGGCGGAGCAAAGATTAGAGAGTATTTTTATGTTGTTCAAGCTTTGGATATGGTTTGGTCTCAACGCGACAATCAGTTAAGAATAAAATCTGTTTTGTTGTTTCCTCTGCCCGCCTGTTCGAACCCCAATCAAGTTCGTGGGCAAGCAGCGGAATCTCTGGTACACAGCCAGCCCAAACGGACTAGCACTAGCGCTTCCGGCTGGACTTTTGTTGATGCCGCCTCCCCACCGGCTCGTGCAAACAATTCACGCAGCTATCACATCAGTCCTTCTAAGATATACCACATGCTATTCTGAAGCGTTGAAAGAAAATGTATTTAAAATATTTCTGTTGTGATTTTTAACAAATCTGCATTTCGAACCGATTGCGTTCAATGCCACGTGCCACTTTAAACCTGCAGTTCTAGAAAATAACTACGTCTGGTAGAATCAACATGCCCGCCTTTTGTGCAGTAATATCAATGAATGTAAGAAGCGTAGAGTAATTTGTGATTAACTTTCTTATTACAATGCCCAACATTTCAATAAATCTGAGAGCTAGCGAAATGTGTAAAAACATTCGTACTCAAAACGAATACAGATTCTATTAAAATATATAGTTGTGTGTAACTGTAGAAGGACAGCTTCAGATGTTGCAATTTCGAAACCATCAATGTGCACACGTATCAGAGTTTATCTTTTGTAATGGGTGACCGAATGTCAACCATACTGTTTCACTTTTTCATTTGCCGATACTTCATATTTGGAGCGAGAGCCCACTCTTCACATTTCTGTTGGTTGTGGACACATGATACAGCCATGATAATTTAAGTCAAATTGTCAAGAAATTGGCTAGAAACGGTGGCTACACAGCACTTAGCTGCGTTTCGCCACTGCAACCCACACGGAAAACAAGCAGGTGGGAAGGGTGCTGCGTGACCAGTCGAAAAAGTTTGTAGCTTGTCTTTCTATTTGAGACCATATGGAAGGATTCTTCTTGCGCATTTAGCGGAAGTGCTCATGCATTTTAATTTGACTGTGCTTCTTGAAGTTGCCCAGCCTACAAGCACGCCGAAGATGACATCAGTGGAGCAAATTCTGAAAACTTACGAGCATAAAATTGGAGAACCCTTAAGATTCACCTTTATGAGCTGATTGTGATAGCGATATTCTATCCTTATTGCGTACTTCAGACACTTAATACAAGGAGATGGTGTCTAAGAATCTATCCCAGTTTCAAGGACTGATGCTGCCATGGAAAATAAGATAAAAAGCTGATGAAGACGTAAAATGTCTGTGGAATACAGCAATCTTAGAGCACACGAGTCGTGACTGCATAGGCTGGACCCGATCCCTCGACCTCGGCCTCCATCCGGACACTCTCGACTTGATACAACGCTGTTTTGTGAACTGTAGCTTGGTGTCGCTCACATCAAATTCTTTTCGCCTTTTGAATTGGCATTGAAGACAGTGCTGCTTGTGATCACCGTGGCAACGATGGAGCGGTAGAGCATGTTCTGGGTCACACTCGTTACAGCGCAAACAGACTAGCGCTAGCAGCTGCGTTAGCCCGCCTTGGCGACAGATCCTTGTCGGAACAGTCAGTGCACGAATGCCGAAGCGGTCCGCTTCACACAAAGTGTCATTAGAAACCCTATTGAAGTTTTTGCGTGCCAGTTACCGATTGAATAGGCAATAGCATCTCCGCCCTCTTTTCTCTTTGCTATTCGCTTTCTTCCTCTTCCCCACTCCCACTCTCCTTATTGCATGGTAGCAAACCAAATACTACAATGCTGGTTGACCTTCTTGCTATTCTCTCTCTTTACCGCTTGAAATATTTTTGAACTTGCCATGCACCCACAACTTGGTCTTGAGGAAATAGGAGCCATCGTAACATGTCCAGCTTTTGTAGTGGCTGGCCAGATTTATATCATGAAGGCATGAAGGCATGTTGACTTGGAGTGATGATAGCCACACGTAACGACGTGTAGTACCAATGCATGCTTCTACAACAGATTATTACTGCAATATTACATGTTGCATTGTGAAGCATGTATACAGGACGCGTGCGTTAGTAAAGTACGAAAGTTAGTTTCAGTGCATTTTCAAGCAGAGGAAGTTATTTTCAGTTTAGTCCCAAGCATAAGCGCGGCTGTGTGGTAGAACACCCTTTTAGCTTTGAATGGGCGGCTTACTTTCAGTGTAATCGCGAGCACGCGTGCGGGTACGTATCAAATTTTCTTGGTAGCCACCGTACTTATGCAGCTCACGATGTTGAAACCAGCCAATAATCATCAACTTCGCATATGGCATGGTAATTTTGATATATTGCGTCATTTACGTCATTTATAAAAAGAGGGGAGAAAGTTTCCAACCTGACTGTGAGAACTCATTATAAATTCCTGGCCGCGCACTACGCTCTAATGCTCAGTTTGCGGATTCTGAGGAGCCTCGACTACCTATTGGCAGCATTTCATGACATTGCTGAAAAGGTGTTGCAGGGCCCTCGTCAGTTAGTTTTGCAGCATTCTGTCCTTTATTCATGTCGGTCTTTTTTTTTACGAAAGTTAGCAGTGGAAACGAACACACTTAAACAATTACTACAAGCACATGTTTTTCTTGTTTACCACTCCTTGCAGACGCCTATAGCTTTAGATTTACTCTTCTCAGCAGGCAGTTTCTAAGTATAATGTGTTGAAACACCACAAATGACAGCAATTTCTATAACAGCGCCTACTGTTGGTCACATGATGATTTTATTGTGGCCTCTAAGGGGCATCTTAGTTTGTTCTTGTGTTTAACTAAACCTATAGCCAAATATATAAATGAAATGATGCTACCTTTCAGCTTGCTCGCAATAATTCGATATAGCTCTCAAGACAAGCAACAATGAGAGCATTATGCCCATTCTGATCATACTTCCAGTTATAGTGAATTTTTCGGCATTGATAGAAAAATGGACAGTCGTAAGCACGCGGTAAATGTGTATTTTTAGGATGCCAGAGAATTTCAGGTCTTCTAATCAAAACATGAAGTATGCTCAACGCTCCTACGTGCGAAAGGCCTACAAGAGCAGCCGCAACTTGGAGCCACCTTTTCACGAAATGCCTGTTTATTGCGTTAACTTCTTGCTGTAGTTGGCAGCATGCAGAACGAGGCAATAAATTTGGAGTGGTTACTGCATGCTCCACTCATCAGATCTCATTATCAGAATGACATCGTAAGACGCCACTGATTAACCTCATTTTCGAGGAAGGCAACCTTACAACCACGAAGACAAAACTGTGCAGTATCAGCAGTCTGTCACGATTATTATTTAGTACACGCGATGTGCGAATATCTGATGCACAGCTAATACTAAAGATTAGATTCATACGTGTTAGGATAACAGGTAAATGAAGTGCGTTCAATATACCACGGTAATATGTTCACTGGACTCTGAGCAGTAAAGTTAGACCCAGTTACTGCAATAACTGTAGTTTGGCCCATTTCCTCTAATAATTTTGTGTAATCGGCATTGTTTCAGACAAGCAGGCCGACAATTCTTGGTGGATTAAGTTTATAAGGGTTACCTACGTATAGTCGTTTGTAGCCACCGACTACAATGTTTATTCCAGAAACTACGAAATGCATGTATAGTAACATTTGCATTTTTGGCCTGTGTAACATTGCCACAAGGAACACGGATGACGCCTGGAGGATTGGCCCATGGGTCTACGATGCACGTAAAGAGGAAGCGACAGCGTTTGTTGCGTCACACGGCGACTACATGGGGGCCTCGGAGGAGCCTGCCCGAGACGGCTAAGGAAAAAACAAAGGCTGCGACGCTTCTCGACTCTTCTTGCGGTGAGATCAAAGCCATCGCGGGTGATAGATACCCTGGGCGAGTAACAAGAGCCGTATCGTCGGAGTACTTCAACTAGGGGGAAGCGAGGGCTTAGAGTGTCGAGGGATAGCAACTCGCAAACACGCCGGTCAAGGCCTGACTGACTGCGTCAGCCAATCGCATGCTTCCGCTACTACGTCGTCGATTCCAGTGGTCGGAAAGGTTTTTTCGAGTTATTAGAAGTACTCTTCAAGTCTTTGTCGTTCCCTTTCTTCAAATTAGGATGATGTTAGAATTCTTCTGAGATTCTAGTATCATCCCCGTCAGGAGACACTTCGTAAACAGGGTGTCCAGTTTTTCTAACATCATCTGTCCTCCGTCTTTCAGTAGATCTGTTGTTACCTGATCTTCACCAGCAGCTTTGCCTCTTCACACTCCTTCCAAGCCTTTGCTGACTTCTTCTGTAATTACTGGTGGGACATCATCTGCGGTAACTAGATGAATAAGAATGGGG